ATTGGTCGAATAATAATTGGTGAATCAGAATACGTGACAAATGATGATGCATCGGGAAATATGGACGAGATGTTGATGGATGATAACGATGAACTCGTTTCTAGTAAATCAACTGAAACGGCATATGAACAATGGGATGATGTTTTTCCATTAGTCGCATAGGTATCTAATTCAAATTTTGTTTTTGATGAATTAATAAATTCATCAGCAATTCTGAATTGTTTTCTGTAAACAAGAGCAGGATCACTGTTAGATATTTTGAATACAATATCAGCTGGTTTTCCGGGTTTTATTCGTGATTTATACGACACCGGTATTTTCATATCATTCACATTTTCTGGCATATAGTCAACAAGGGATTCGTTGTTGATTGACAATGATGAATTTACTAAAGTGAAATTAATCAATGCGTCATTTTCAATTTTACCCAAATAATCGAGGACAAGATTGACCCCATCGCTAAAACTATTGGGTGATGTGAACAATTTTGGATTGAGAATAACTTGATATTCGCGTGATGTATAACTAGGATAATTACATGATATTGCCAAGAGAACATGGTCTACTTGAAACAGCTGGATAAGACATCCCAGAATGATTGCGTGCAACATTGTATATTGTTTCTATTGATCGAGTCACTTTTACACAGTAAGCGATATTAGACAAACCGAACTGCTTTTGACTTCCAATCAGAAAACTTTCATTCGATCGAGATTAGTGAATAAATATAACAGCAGGCTTTTGAGAGATTAATTTCTACGATTGTAAGGTAGAAAGGAATATTGGAATGAATTTCACCGTCAACACTGACTAAAGAAAAGTTAAAGAAAGTCAATAGCATAGCAATTTCTTTTAAATGGAAAAAGATTAATCTTCAATGTGAAATGAGTCAAACAAATATTAGTTATTATTCTTCATATTTACTGATAACAAACTTGACACTTTCTGACTCATGTCGGCTATACAAGGTAATATTAAAAACTAACCTGTTTAACAGAGTAGAAATAATTCCCCAGCTCATTTCTTCTTGAAGACTAATCTTTATCCATTTAAGAGCAATTGCTATGCTATTGACTTTCTTTAACTTTTCGTGAGTCAGTGTTGACGCTGAAATTCAATCGAATATTTTCTGAGAACGTGCTAAACATTTTGGAGCTTTTTTCACCAGGAGTCTAACTTATTCT